ATCTGGTTTAGCAGGGGTCCAATGTGACCCTTGCTTTTCCTCCAGCTCCCCACATATCTAAAAAAGAACTTTTTATTTTTCTTGATATTTGCAGCTAGCTGGAGTTCCATCGCAGCCTTGGCTTTCCTGATTTGCTCACTGCAAGTCCAGACTAAAAAAGAGTATTCCTCCTTGGTGGCGGTTCCAGTCCTCCATCCTTTGTAGGTCTTCATTTTAAGATGCAGGAGGTCTGCCAGTTCCCTGGAGAGCCAAGGGGGATGCTGTGCCCTTTTTCTGCCTTTCCTCTGAGACGGGATGGACTTTGCTTGTACATCCAGGATTGCTCCCTTGAGGAGCAACCACTTGTCCTGAGCTCCCCTCTTCATTTGGTTGTGGCCTTTTAGGGTCTCTCTGACAAGCCTTCTTAGCTTGTCAAAGTCAGCTTTCCTGAAGTTGAGGACTTCTGTATTACTGACTGACTTGCCAGCTTTACGGCAGATGGTGAAGGTGATCAGTTCATGATCACTGTCACCCAGCTTCTCTTCGGTGGTTAGGTTGCTGCTTAGGTTGTCCTGGTTGCCAGTATGAGGTCATGCAGCACTTTACCTCTTGTTGGCCTGTAGGCTCCTGCATCAGATAGAGGTTGTCCACACATGAGAGAAAGCTTTATGACTGCTCGGATTTGGCCGAGCGCTCCTCCCACGAGATGTCTGGGTAGTTAAAGTCTCCCATGACAACCATACACCGGGATTGTGTGGCCCCAGCCAATTCCCTGGTGAACTCTTGGTCAAGGTCTTGACTCTGGGTAGGGGGTCTGTAGTAGACCCCCACCATAGTATTCCCTGTGTCGTGTTCCCCTTGGATTTTAACCCAGAGGGTCTCAAGTCATCCACCGTGGGATATATGGGGAAAGGTCAGAACAATTACATCTATGGTGTCTAAGAGAAGAACAGTTTGACAAGTGTAAAACCATGGAGGGAGAGGAATTATCAAGGGTAGTGCTGGAGGAAATAACCTGCAATCATAGGAAGAAATAAAGGGCAGGCTTTCCAAATAGTTGTCTTCATCTGTGGAATCGTATCTCAGGGAGAAGGTAGAAGCTCTTTCACTTGTCACATTAAAATTAGGTTGGACCTAGCACCAATAAAAATTGTGACTTGTAGGAAACAATTTTGAATTGGGCAGTGGGCAGTCTGGAACCATAGTTTGTTTCTTCATTTCCTGACTTAATTGAGTCCTTGAGTCTGCCTTTCCACTGGAGAGCTCACCCCAAGCTCCTTGAAGGTACCTCTTCTGCTGGCCCTGACTTCCTCTTTCTTTGTGCCCTGCAGTAAGAGGCGAGAGACCCCATACACAGACCGCTTGCAGCAGTACATCAGTACACGAGGTAAGTGTTCTCCCAGGATAAGTAGTAGGCGTCTGTCTCTCTGCAGGGCTTGCTCGTGCCTGTAATCCATCTGGGCTTGGTTATGGTCATATTTTGGATGTCTCTTCTCCCTCACAGGACTTGGTGTGAAGTATTACATTGATCCCTCCACCTATGAAGACCCCAATGAGGCAATTCGGGAGTTTGCCAAGGAGATTGATGTTTCCTTCATCAAGATTGAGGAAGTCATTGGATCAGGTAACATGGGCAAGGTGGCAAGCCCCAGGTTTTTGGTTCATAGTTTAGCAACTCTTGATGTGACTCAACGCACTGCTGACCTGCTGTGGGTGCCAAAACCACCCCTGCCTCCTAGCACACTGCATGGTTCAGTACAGTTACCTTCTGTCTTGATTGGACTCTGCCTTAACATTAACACCTGCCTAGACTTCAGTCTTGGTCCAAACCCACATCAGAGTCAGTGCTGAGAAGCCAAGTCACGTGCCCTTTTAGGTCCCCCTGTGTTCCAAACTGTTCTCTGATTTAAATGAGCATTGATCGAGAATTTTATCCTGCTGCAATCCCTTTAAGTAGCCGTAGTCCCTGGCATTTCCCTCTCTGAAGTCTATCTGCTATGGCCGTGGCCCATCAAGAAAATCTAGGAGTGTCCCTCCCACCTCTCTCCAGCTATGCTTCTTCCCTCTACTGGCAGGAGAGTTCGGGGAGGTATGCTTTGGGCGCCTGAAGCCTCCAGGGAAGCGAGAATACACTGTAGCGATCAAAACCCTGAAGTCTGGTTACACGGATGAACAGCGGCGGGAGTTCCTGAGTGAAGCCAGCATCATGGGACAGTTTGAGCACCCTAATGTCATCCGCCTGGAAGGTGTGGTCACCAAGAGCCGGCCCGTCATGATTGTGACCGAGTTCATGGAGAATGGATCGCTGGATTCTTTCCTCAGGGTACCACAAGCTGGACTCTCTCTCACTTACCTTCACCTCTATCTGTGTCTGTCTGTCAGCTCCATCCTTTCACCTGTCCATCTTCTTCCTCTGTGTCTGTCAGTCTCATGGCCAATATCCTCGGGGTGTGATGAAGATAAATGTTGAGGCACTGACTGAAGTGTCTTTTTGGCCAGCACACTGAGAATCAAAGAAAAGCAGAGCTGGAAGGGACCTTCAGAGGTCATCTAGTCCAACATTCTGCCACAAACAGGATCATCCCATCCTATAAAAATCCATCGTCTAACCTATTTATAAAACTACACTCCACAAGGCATAACACGCTACTCTGCCACAAGTAAGGCAGGGGGAGCATGATGGTCAGTGTCCTGCTGTTGCAAGGGCTCTTAAAATACACTTGAGAGATCCCTGGAAGAGGTCCCCACCCCCTCCTACAGAGAAAGGCAAAACCCCCACAATCTGTACCAATCTGACCATGAGGTAAAATTCCTCCTTGACCCCAAATATGGTGATTGAAACAAAGCAACAAGACCCTCTAGCCAGGAACCTCTGGGCTTAAGCCCCAGCAGGATCACTGGCATACCCCAGTCTTGTTGGCTGTAGCCAACACTCAGTGCTTTTGAGAGGCAAAACAACCCATGATGTGCAGCCACAGGAAAGGAAAGCAATTCCTTCCCGGCCCCATGTGGCCACCAGCAAAGCCCAGAAGCATGGGAAGTACTCATAGTGAAGCATAGGCATAGCTACTCCTAGATCACCCCTGACCAATCCTTGTCCAACCTCTTGAACACCTCCAGGGATGGGGAGTCCATAGCTTTCCCAGGCAGTCTGCTCTGCTGCCTGACTGTTCTGACAATTATGTTTTTCTGATATCCAATCTAAATCTACTTTGCTGCAAATTCAAGCCATGGGTCTGCATTCTGATCTCTACAGCATGAGAGCAAAGATGCTTCTTTTTATGGCAGATTTTCAGGTGTTTTGAAGACTGCTATCATGTCTCTTCTACAAACTGCCTTTTCTACAAACTGAACATGTCTAGCTCCTTCAACCTCTTCTCATACAACTTGCCTTCCAAGTCCTTTATTATTTTTATCATCCATCACTGTACCCTCCCTAACTTCTCTGTGTTCTTTTTAAAATGCAGAGCCAAAAATTTCACAGTACACTAGATGAGGCTTAACCAGTGCCAAGTAAAGAGGCACTATCACATCCTGTGTCTTGTACCTAATCCTTCTATTGAAACAACTCCAAACTGCATTCATTTTTTCATAGAACCATAGAAAATTAGTCCAACCCCCTGCTCAAAGCAGGACCAGCCCCAACTAGATCAACCCAGCCAAGGCAAAAGCTGGGTGTTAAAAACCTCCGAAGATGGAGGATGGAGATTCCACAACCTCTCTGGGTAACCTGTTCCAGTGCTTTACTACCTTCCTTGTGAAATGTTTTTTTTCCTAAATCTAACCTAAACTTTCCTTGCTGCAACTTGAAACTATGGCTCCTTGTTCTGACACCCGCTGCCACTGAGAATAGTCTAGCTCCATCATCTTTGGAACCCCACTTCAGGTAGTGGAAGGCAGTTATTAAATCCCTCCCCTCATGACTTCTTTTTTCCAGACTAAATAAGTCCAGTTCCTGCAGCCTCTCCTCATAGGTCATGTTCCCCAGCCCTCAAACCATTTTTGTTGCCCTGCATTGGACTTTCTCCAATTTGTCCACATCCTTTCTGTAATGGAGGGCCCAACACTGGACACTGTGCTCCAGGTGTGGCCTCTGGGAATAATCACTTCCCTCAATCTGGTGGTATCACTCCCACTAATATAGCACAATATGCTGTTAGTCTTCTTCACAACAAGTGTACGCTGTTGGCTTCTATCAATCTTATTGTCCACGGTAACCTCCCAGGTCCTTTTCCACAGAGCTTCTTTTAAGCAGAGAGCCCCCAGCCTGTACTGGTGCATGGGATTGTGCCGTCCTAAGTGCAAGACTTTGCATTTGTTTTTAATGAACTTCATGAAATTTCTTGTGGTCCAGTCTTCCAATCTGTGTAGATATCTCTGAATCCTAGCCCCATCCTGCAGCATTTCAACTCCTCCACCCAGCTTGATGCCATCCTCAATTTGCTGAGGGTGCGCTCCATCCCATCTTCCAAGTCGATGATGATATTGAACAAAACCTGCCCCAGGAACAACCCCTGGGGCATTCCACTTGGTACCAGCTGCCAACTAGATATTGAACCATTGATTATTACTGTTTGAGCCTGATGATCCAGCCAGTTTTCTATCCACCTTACAGTCCATTCATCCAGCCTGTACTTCCTTAGCTTGCTTGCGAGAATGCTGTGGAAGACCATACCAAAAGCCTTGCTAAAGGCTTTTGTGCAGCTACATCACACTGCAGACTCATATTGAGTCTGGATCCTTCTCTGTAGTGCTACCATCCAGTTAGGTATCACCAATTTTGTATTGTGTTTTGATTATTCTTCCTGAGGTGTAGCTCCTTGCATTTTTCAGCATGGAACTTCATCATATTAGCTCCAGCCCAGCTTTCCAATCTGTCAAGGTTCTTCTGAATTGCACTCTTGTCCTCCAAAGTTTTTTCAGTCCTTCCCTGTTTATTATCATCTGCAAAGTTGCCCAAGAAGCTTTCTATGCCAGCATCCAAACCATCAATAAACACACAGAACAGCACTGGGGCCCAGGAAAAAACCCTGTGGGATTCCACTCAAAACTTGCCATTCTGACATGGATCTTTGTATAATTATCTTTTGCTTGTGGCTATTAAGCCAGCTGTTTATTGTATAAAAGTCTTGTCTAGTGCACATTTCTCTTACTTCTCTTATTTGTTTATATGAAAGTCAAATGAGACTGTCAAAAGCCTTGTTGAAGCCCAGATATCCCCACTGCATTCCCTTCATCCATTCAAGTAGTTACTTTGTTGAAGAAGGAGATCAGGTTTATTTGATACAATTTGTTCCTAGTAAATCACCTAGGTTCTTAGACAGAGTGCAGGACCTCCATCTAACCCAGGAGGTGCACAGCCCCACCAGGGGAGACGCCTTGTTGGACCTAGTGCTGGCCATGGGTGATGACCTGGTGACGGGGCTGCGGGTGCTCGACCACCTGGGCGACAGCGATCATCGCCTGTTGGAATTCACCTTCCAGCGCAAGGTGGCAAAGGCATGCAGTAAGGCAGCGGCCCTAGATTTTAGGAGGGCGAACTTCAGCGAGCTAAGGAGGATAGTTGGAGAAGCACTGAGGTCTCGGAGGGGAGGGGAGCCAGGTGTCCAAGGAGGGTGGTCGCTCCTTAAGGAGACGATCCTCCAAGCCCAAAGGAAGGTAATCCCAACGAGGATTAAAGGGAGCAGGAGAGCACACAAGCCTCCAAGGCTCACCAAAAGCATCCGGGAATGTCTCCTTGCTAAAAAGGAGGCGCACACCGGATAGAAAGAAGGGGTCATCACCAGGGAGGACTATTCTGCAGTGGCTCGGGGATGTAGGGGGGTAGTTAGGAAGGCCAAGGCAGAGATGGAACTGGGACTAGCTTCCCAGATTAAGGACAATAAGAAGTCCTTTTTTAAATACATAGGGGGTAAAAAGAAGGTCCTGGGTAATGTGGGGCCCTTGCAGGACGCGTTGGGAAATTTGGTCGTCACACCAGACGACAAAGCTAACA